GGAGCAACTGAAAGCAGCAAGACCTTATTTGGAAAATAGTCGCGAATCTCTTCTGAACAGCAGTACTCACAACACAACTTATTTAAAGGATAAAGGATAAAGCATTTGCCGTTGATCAATCCCTTTTTGGGATGCGGCACGCATTCTACTTCCATTTGTACATTCGTAGTGGCGTTTGAATGCGATGTGGCCTATACAATGACTTGCGGGGGCCAGCCGATGTACAATAAAAGTAATGGCTTTATATATGATTAAACTTTTGTATTTGTGAAATTAAACTGTTTTTGTTTTTATTTTTCGATCTCAATATTTTTATATGTTTAGTCAGTGATTTTTTTCCTCCCAGACAAGTCTGGTACCAATTAACCGACCCCGGAGGGATGGAAGGCTTGGTTGGCCCGGGCGACTCACGACCTAGGATTTGATCCCCGGACCGCTCGCGTGGTAGAGCGTGCCACTTGCCACTACCCACCGCAGACAACCTTATACCGCTCTATGTACATCTAGCTCCACCTGTGCTCCTGAAATCAGATGATTTACTGCTCTGGAGCGGCCTGGTTCATGCCACTAAAGGCCACCAACAGAATGTCCGCTAGTGACTTCTTTGACTTAAGTTCATTATTCAGAATAACATTTCCGGCGGCAATTAAGCAGCTTACAAGTACAACGTGCTTCAAAGCTTAAAGGTTGCTCTATGTGGTCCTGACACCTTTATGCGGTTTACAATGTTCTGAACTAGTTTTCTTGGAAATTATCATGGGGATGAGTGGAGAGAATTTGGTAAGCGAGAGCTTTTCTAGCGCATCACAAGATTCATGGTATTGTGGTGGCAAATGCGTGTGAAACCGCGTGAAACATTTCCTTTATTTGAAACCGGGACTAAACCTTAGGCAAGAGAGAAGAGTTAGAGCAAAGTTCTCACCCCTATTAGGCCCCGCGTATCTGCAATAGCGCCTTTTTTTCTCTTGATGAATGAAAATGAGTGAAAACAGCGCTGAGTCAAAAGGAAAAGCCCAATACGTACCTGTTGGTGAAGGACACGATGGCGTAGGCGGGAGGTTGAACAAACTATAATGGGAAATTCTTGGAAACAATTCAAAAACAACAAGCGCCAAACATACTTGTTGGTGCAGGACAAACGGGGGTCGGTGGGCAAGTTGGGCATGCTGAAAGGTTGGGATATAGTATATCCATAAGAAAAGGGACCGCTTCACATACCTGGTGGTGCAGGACACACAGGAGGAGGTGGGCAGACTATGCACGCTAAATGAAGGGAAGAGCTGAATTGAACAGAACTGCTATCAAAGTACTACAAGAAATAAAGGTTCTTTTTTGCGATGTTTTTTCTAAACTAGCTCGTATTCGTTTCCCGCTAAAGATCACCTTAATATTTTTTCCGCATTTAATCTTACCTATTGTGAAATTGTTTCCTTGTTCTATTCTGTAGCGATAGTCATAAATAAGTAAATAAGATTACATTAATTAATTAATAAGACGACGATAACTATGGCCACACCGGGTCTAGGTGGACAAACAACTGGAGGGGGACAAGACGTAGGCAGGATCGAGCCAGCATCGATAGCGCACACATAAGTTACCAGCTCGGAGCACGACTTCGTCGACCAAATGCCATTCGGTGAGCCCGAAACAGCGCACTGATTAGATTGACCTGGCTGACCTGAAAAATTTTGAGTTTCCTTGTTCTGTGGTGCTGTTCCATTATCATCGGGCTTTGACAAATTCAGATGTGGCAATATTTTGTTGAAAACTTGTTGAAGACGAAGCGGAGCAGTGAATTATATGCGTCACTTGAAGTGAATTGGATACCTGCTCGCAGCAGCGGGGCGTTCATTTGTTTGCGTCGAGTTTGTCCTTGTGAAGCGTATGAGAATAAGAGCACCACCTTATTCAGCCCTATTTATTTGGTTGACCCATAATTTCTGGCCGATTTTCTCAATTTTCTTCATATCAAATGGAATAAGTTAATGTTGAAGAACACATCAGGACCTTCAGCCAGGATGATTCAGAAGCTTAAGTGCGCAAAGGGATAATTAAGTAGGAATCAAAATAGATCAACAACCAAACCCAACGATTTTGCCTTGCGACAATTTTAAGAAGAACCTTGCAAGGAGCGCGGTAGGCAAGATCAGCGCTACGTTTGCCCCACTCTTTGCTACTGATCGGGCACTGAGCTATTGGCTCAATAGCATACGCAAAGGCGATAGGAGCTGCAAGTTCGACCTCATCACGGACCCCCAATCACTTTCGATGGAGGACCGCTTGCGCGCTACGAATAGAGAAGTGCATCCAGACGCGATGGCAGGAAAGCTATAGCAAACCACCTGACGCCAGCCTTTAACGCTCCATGGAGTCGCCACGCGAGAACGAAAAGAGCTGGAGCGAGAATGGCGAATGCGATGAAAGCAGCGAGGCGTCGCCTGACCATAGACCGAAACACGCCTGCACCATCTGCAGAAGTTTCATTCTAGGACCGTATAGACAAGATACTCCCTGGTTGGTTCACCAGTGCAGATGAGTGAAGAGTCCCCTTACGATAACAACACGCAGCTCGCCCGGTGGCTACCTCGCAGCCTGGACGCAGCACATCAACCCAAAACCCGAGCTGTTTCATCAGAGGGTGTGACCCCCGTTTTGTTGGATTCGCTGGGTATCCCGTTTTGAGAACCATTTCACTTTATGCAGACAAGCATTGCGAAGGTAACCATGGAATAGCTCCCTAAAGTTAGGCCACGCAGTTGGAAAAGTCTCAAAATCTCTTTTAATCCGGAATAACGCCCGCACATTGCAAAGATAACTCGTCTCGTTTCGAGGGGCTGGACCACGACACCACATCTATCGTATAGCCCTTAAAGTTGCTCCATCGTACTATCACCTCCTCAGCCCCCTGAAGCAGCAGCTAGGAGAGAAAAAAGTCAGTAAATACAACCACCACCAAAAACGACCTCTTCGAGCTTTTCATCTCACAGCTTCTCTCGTTCTGGAAGGAATGCATCCATTCGTTCCTTAGCAAATGGGTGCATGTCAGTGATCATGATGGTGGTTATGTTTTGCTCAAAGGTCGCTTTAATATCAGAGGAAAGATAAACTTGAAGAAATCAAACTTGGTGAAATTCGCATAGGTTAAAGGAATCTTCCACGGAAAAAGCTCCGCCTCCATTACCACAGAAAAACGATACCTTAGGCCCCTAGCCTCATGAGCATAGCAAAAAGAACGGAACATAAGCGTTAGTTTCGATAATACTAATCCTACACACAAGACAAAATGATCACTCTTTCCGTGGAAGATTCCTTTAAAGGCACGCTCCACGATTAGGCGCGCTTGCCTCTTCCATCCCGGGGGTAGTAGGCAGGCGGACAAGTGTTGTTGTCGCACCCCTTTTGCCGCTTGAAAGTGCGCGACAAAGGCACAAGCAGCTCGTCCGACCTGCAACTCACACCTTGTCCGCAAGCCCCACCCTCCGCTGTCCGTTGCCACGTGGCGCTGCTTGAAAAGCGCGGGCGCATTTGAGGCAGCGGTCCCACCGCGATCCTGTGTCAATGGCACTGGAGCAACTAGAGTCAGGCTCGCGAAACTCGTCCAACGCGCCTTTTCTCTATCCCAAGGTGGAATGTTGCTGAAATAGGGGAGGTTTCTGTACGGGGCGTAATCTGTGATTTCGTTTGCTTTCCTTCTCTTTTATAGACCACCTCCCACCTCTAGTATCATGACTGAACGCTTTTAGACACCTATTTATATCCCGAATCTTCTTAAGGGTCCAACCACATATTGATACATGGTTCGGCTAGCTCCCAAAATCTGCGAATTGATGCAATTACTCGTGTGGGCATCTCGCAGAAGTCATCTTTGAAAAGTGGCAATTATCTGTGATTTTATGTCAGAAATCCGGGACGTGGGCCTTTGACCGAATGGGACAAATTATTCGAGCTGCATCAAGACTGACCATGAGCCCAGTTCGTATACGTGGCAGGTGTGCCATCATTCCATGACCAAAGTCCACCATCAAGGCTAGTCAATCCAATGTAGAATGGAAGTGGAAAATGGTCCGCTTGGGCAGTTTCTGCAAAACGAAAACCTTTGAAATAAGCTATTCGGAGTTCATATAGATAAAAAAGATGTCCAAGCGATCCCTTCCTAATAAGTCTCTGATGAACTGAGCAAGTGCAAATTCGAGCAGGATTGGCGTAGCAAGATCAATTGTATCTATACTCTCACCTATAAGCATGGCGTTTTCGTAGCCATTCTGAATGGAAACTAGGTGACCTCCGAGGCTCAAGCAATCTGTCTCGGCTAAGGAAAGGACTTTTTCACAGTGGAGAATTTGTAGCATCTGTAATTGAAATATAACAATGAGATCTGTTAAGTTGGCTCCGCAGTTTTTACTGACGTTTTTTTCATGGCGAGACGCACCTTTCAAATTCTTGGACGTATATCGTGCCTTGCGGGCAAATAGCCACCACTGGAAGATCACGTGCATCAGAGTGAAAACAGCTGTACTCACAATACAATTTTAGTTCCGTCTAATAGATCCACCTGTGCTCATGAAGCCAGACGATTTACCGCTCTGGAGCGGACTGGTTCCATGCTCCTACAGGCCACCAATAGAATGTCCGCTTAGTGATTTCTCTGACCTCAGTCAAATATTCAGACCAACATTTCTGGCGGCAATTTACGGCAAGTACAAGTGGCTACAAAGCTTAAAAGTTTCTTTATGTGGTCCTGACACCCTTATACGGTTTACAACGTTCTAAACTAGTTTTCTGGAAAATTATCATAGGGAACCCCGCTCTGAATTCGGTAATTGAGAACTTTTTTTAGCGCATTACAAGATACAGGGTATTGTGGTGGCAGTGCATGTAATTTCCTTTATTTGAAACCGGGACTAAACCTTAGGCAAGAGAGAAGAGTTAGAGCAAAGTTCTCACCCCTATTAGGGCCAGCGTATCTGCAATAGCGCCTTTTTTCTCTTGCGCTTATAATGAGTGAAACAGCGCTGAGTCGCAACGAAAAGCCCAGTACGTACCTGCTGGTGAAGGACACGATGGCGTAGGCGGGCAGGTTGAACAAACTATAATGGGAAATTCTTGGAAACAATTCAAAAACAACAAGCGCCAAACATACTTGTTGGTGCAGGACAAACGGGGGTCGGTGGGCAAGTTGGGCATGCTGAAAGGTTCGGGATAAAGTATATCCATATAGAAAGGGATCCGCTTCACATACCTGGTGGTGCAGGACACACAGGAGGAGGTGGGCAGACTATGCACGCTAAATGAAGGGAGTTGAATTGAACAGAACCGCAAGTTTTTACAAGAATAAGAAAAAACGATAACTGAGTCATACCGGGTCTAGGTGGACAAACAACTGGAGGGGGACAAGAAGTAGGCAGGATCGAGCCAGCATCGATAGCGCACACATAAGTTACTAGCTCGGAGCACGACTTCGTCGACCAAATGCCATTCGGTGAGCCCGAAACAGCGCACTGATTAGATTGACCTGGCTGACCTGAAAATTTTTTAGTGTCTTTTGTTCTGCTGCTTCATTCGTCGGCTTCGACAAATTTCAGATTTGTGGCAATATTTTGTTGAAAACTTGAGAAAAACGAAGCAGAGCAGTGAATTACAGCGTCACCTTAAAGATGACATTAAAGGCAAACCCCGGGATTAAACTGGTGCTAAGAGCGCTTCGTAGTGATAGCTTAGCTGCGGAACGACCTGAAAGTGGAAGGAAAGCAAGAGAATCTTTGGGAACGCTGAAATTAAGGCCTTAACCTTCAATAAGGTCGGATGTGGTACGATGGCGAGACAGGGCGATCAAAGAAGACAAAATACGCGAGAGAGCACGTCGTTTGAGAGAGCACGCTGATCTCTACATCAATGCACGCTGATCTCACCACCTCTCGCGGTGGGTGGGAAGCGTTGGAACGGGGTCGATGGTTGCAGGCCCGTAAGGATTAGCGCCCTAACGCGCAATTTTTGCGACGAAGCTGGAGTGATCTAGGTAGGTACGGACCTTACAATTTCCCTCGTGGTATCCTTTCCACAAGTCGGGCTAAACCCGGGGCTTTGCCTTTAAGTCCTGCCGAAGCAGCAAAGAGCTCATTTGTTTACATTAACTTTTTCCTAGTGAATGCGTGTGAGCCACGCACCTTATTCAGTACTTACTTATTAGATACATGTTCCGGTCATTTCCAAAATCTGCGAAAGATCATACTCGTTGTGCATCGCAGAAGTCACCTTTTTAAAGTGCAATTGCTTGATTTTATGCAGAAATCTGGGACGTCGCCTTTTGACCGAATGGGATATTTATTCCGAGCTGCATCTAGACTGACCATGAGCCCAGTTCGTATACGTGGCCAGGTGTGCCATCATTCCATGACCAAAGTCCACCATCAAGGCTAGTCAATCCAATGTAGAATGGAAGTGGAAAATGATCCGCTTGGGCAGTTTCTGCAAAACGAAAACCTTTGAAAAAAAGCTGTTCGGTGTTCATATAGATAAAAAAGATGTCCAAGCGATCCTTTCCTAGTGAGTCCTCTAATGAACTGAGCAAGTGCAAATTTCGAACAGGACTGGCGATATGCGATCACTTTATCTATACTCTCACCTATAAGCATGGCGTTTTCGTAGCCATTCTGAATGGAAACTAGGTGACCTCCGAGGCTCAAGCAATCTGTCTCGGCTAAGGAATAGGACTTTTTCACAGTGGAGAATTTGTAGCATCTGTAATTGAAAATATAAAATAAGATCTGTTAATATTGGCTCCGCAGTTTTTACTGACGTTTTTTTTTTTCATGGGCGAGACGCACCTTTCAAATTCTTGACGGTATATCGTGCCTTGCGGACAAATAGCTACCACCACTGGAAGAATCAAGTGCAGCAGAGTGAACATTATGGTCGATGCTCTCGGAATTCTTTTATCAGGTCTACTATCGACCTTAAGTAGCGAAGCAAAGTTCTTCAAGATAAGAGATACATAGACTTAACGTCACTTTTTCGCCGAGGTGGCGGCTGAGTCACTCAGACCACAGATCGTTCGAAGAAGCTAGTGAGCATGAGCATGCTTCTTGTGTGGTAGGTTAATTCATAAGGTTCTCACAGATTATGGTGAGTAACTTCATTTATTCTTGAGCTGACAGCATCTGGATGTAATTTTAAAGAATCGATCTTCTTTACAACTAGCATCACGACACGCGGTCCTAATCAAATCCGCTGATCAAGCATCTCCCAATACATCAAGCCTCACTTCCGGGAGCATTTAATTTGATTCCTGCCTGGCCCGGCTACTAAGACAACCACAGAAAATAGAATTGTTTACCATATGTAGCTAACCTTGTACGAAGTTATCTAAGCACCGATTAAGTATTAGGTAGCGAATATCTTAGTGTTGCTTTTTTGAGTTCAGGAAGTTTTCGGGGCCGATTACTATGGAAAATCAATATCTCTGAAAGTCCTTTTGCTCATAAATACTGCGAAATGTGTTGCTTATCAACCAGTGCTGAAAGTTATGTACGTATACCATGAAAAGCTGAGTTGGGATGAAATGGTGCCCCGGTAGCGTAACTGGTAGCGCACTTGCCCGGAAAGCGAGAGGTGCGGGTTCTAGTCCCGCCTGGGGCGAAAGTTTTGTTCACAACCCAGCATTCTTGTGAAACATTCGCAAGGCGAACTGCGGCCAAAAACAGCAGTTAACAAAAAAACAAGTCAAAAATATTGCTTGTTGTTTTCTATTGTTGGTTCACAATTTAACTTTCCCCCAATTTTTATACTTTTTTTTGAAAATTCCTGGGTCCAGTGTGCAAATTCGCATGTGTGTACCAAATGCTTCAAAATTCTTGCTGAGAGCTACAACTTTCCCCACCAAACCAACATTGCATGGAGGGAATACTACCATTTAAAATGCTCATCGGTTTTTCACAGTTTTCTCAAAAGACAGTGAAGTCTTTGAAGTGATGCCCGCAATCGTCGTCAAAAAGGTGGCCCTAGTTAAATCAGTCGAGACGGGGCTGCACCAGTCTTGTGCTGAAATGGTAGGACACCTTAGCAGTGACTGATCGATGATGCACAAACGCTTTAACGAAGTTGATTGCACAAGAAATTCTAATAAATGTGCTCATCTGCTACTCACGTGTGCTCAAAAAGGGTGCGTTTTTGACCCTATGTGGCAAAAAAGACTCCGGGAAAAATTGTCCAGTTGAGCTGGTAAGTAATAACTTTCCACACCATACAGTGCAGACCCTACTCTAACTAACTGTATACTTCTTTGTCCAGGCCTAACTTTTTAGCAAGTGAGAGGGATGATTTGTCAGATGATGTCAAAACCGACCTACTCTTTTTCGACTCAAAAAATTCCTAGCTTTAATCGTACGAGGTTTCCACTCATACTGGTAAATGGGAAAGTGCTAATGAGTCATTCGATGATATGCTGTTTCACTCCCCGGATTCTGAATTAAAATATTGGTGGTCCGAAACTCGTGGTGAAAAAACGACACTAAGATATCCGGTACCTAATAGTCCATTCAAAAGGACAACGACTTAATGCCACCGAAATTTTAAAAAGTGTTTGAGAAAATTAGGGGTTAATATGTCGGTCAAAATCACAGCTTAATGAAGGCTATCAGTGACTTCCCTTTCATTCTAACTCATTTCCAGCAGCTGCCAAAATACTGTTTAAACCAGACTTCATTGAACATCCCAGCCGGCTGTGTGATTTACAGGTTTGGAGTTGATGTATATGTTTTCATTCACGCGACAGTACGAGGTCGCGAGAATGAACGTGGCCACCTTATGATTGCCGCTTGGCACTATTTTGAAAAAAAAAATCGGGAAGCTCCATTCAAATAATGAAAAAGTTTTGTCACTACGGAAATCGAACCTTGGACCATTTTTTCATCACTTTTTATGGGAGATGTCTGCCAAGGCTCAATCAGTCTTTCTCTGCCAAATTGAAGGATTGTCTTATGTTTGAAAACTTGTAACACCTGGAACTATGGAAATAAGACTACTGAACTGTCACTCCTTACCAGTATTGTAATGTGAGCTAAGCCATGTTCATAATTAATGCATGATAATTCTCTTCGAGCAACTTCATCGAAAGGTTGGGGATGCGTCCACAACTCTCCCGAATCACAGAAGGATAAATGATAATCTTCGACAATGATCAAATCCTTTTTAGAGCTGCTTCCGTCCGAAACGTAGGGGGCACTTAAACCATTGGCGCTACCAAGCACTTTTGGCCGCGTCTGTGGAGATGGGAGGAGGGATAGTCGCTGGACATGTCAAAGCTTTCAAACATTTACCCAGACAGTATGGTACCGGGTAACCAACCCAGGCTGACGAATAGCAAAGCTGGCCTGGGCGAGATCGATCCAGACAATGCGTGTAGCATGCGGGGTCACTGACTACTACACCATCTCCGTATTTAGTTACATGTTTGGTCTATGTACTTTCTCGTGAAGCATCCGGTGTTTTCACCCCCCTGGAGATTGAAATCACCTCTTTCAGGAGAATGGATCGGAATCTATCTTGCGCCCTTTCTATTGACCTTAGTCCTTGCGCCATATTAAGAACGTGAAGGACGAGTAAGTGCTAATGTCTTGTTGATAGGTGCTGCTTCTCTGTTTAATGAATTTCATTGCGGCCTCTGAAGTTATACGAATTTCATTGCGGCTCTAGATGTGTTTAGCTCAATCCAGCAAGGGCTCCGACCCTTTTGAAGTCGCTCGAGTCGGAATAGATTTCTTAGAATGGCAACACCATTAAGTGTAAATCATTTGCTGTTTGCGAACCATTGAAAACCAAACCCAAAGGCCATACACTATATTCGGTGAACAAATGGGGCGCAGCCCAAAAAGGTTGATCAGCCGCGGAGCTGCTCTCGCGCACCCTGTACTGAGGTACATATAGGAAGTTGCGCGGAGCCACTTGCCTTCTGCTGCGCTGCTAGCAATCCGCGAGAAAGTCGTGACACAAAAATAAATACTGAAGGATGAATGTTGTGAAAGGAGGAATTTTGAACGCGAGGGCTATACGAAATTTAAAGCGAGAAATTACGATAAAATTTCTGTGCAGCATGGAAGAACGAGCAGCACTTCAAGCAGTAGCTAGAGCCCAAAGGAATCGAGATGTGGCCTTTTTGTGACTAAAGGTGCGCTCGTTGCAGCGCCCTGGGGCTGCCAATCCTTTCTGAGCTCCGCCTCCGCCTGTGCTCCGCCCCTCAGCAGATCGCTGTTCGATTATCATTCTGATAAGGTATGCCACTTCGAGCGCGTATCCAATTTTTTTCTCATGGAATGCTATATCAATCAAGGTATGATCTCTGGTGGTATGATGGCAGCTATGGTTTAACGAGTGCCGACGACCTCTTAGTTGGTTGCCAACTCGTCCATTATCGGAGGTCAACGGGCAGAGGAAGTGGTCCCATTTTGCGCGTTTTTGACGGATTTCTTTGCTTTTTTCGCTACTAGGGCATTATTCAGCATCTTCACTTCCACTATGAGCACAACAGAATCCTATCGCAATCTCTCGCTTTAAGGAGTTCAACATCGTGTAATTTGCAAACCAATTGAGATGGGTGGAAACATGAAATGTACGAGTTGCCACCAACTCGCTTAAAGGGCGACGATAAACCGCGCCATGGCCGACCTCCTCAACTTCCATATCCCCATTATTGTCCCATATTCAGAATACTGAACCGAAAACCACACTTCAGAAGTTCTCGGTGTGATATTGAATGATCAACGCAAACTTCGCCCACTTATTTGCTTACGTAGACTTTTCGATATCGGATCAAAAACTCCTGACCTTCGAGTGACTGTTGGATGGTGTACCGTACCCTATCAACTTTTGTGACGATATTCTCCACGACTGTAACAACGCAAATAATATAATAAGAGATCAAAAAACGGGAAGACCTAAATCGGTGGACACAGCTCGCGAGGTACCTCCCAATACCATGCTTTACCGTACGTTTTCGCATACAGTAGATATATAGAGATATCAGGTATATAAGCTAAGCGTCACTTTTTCGTCAAAGCCTTACCTGAGTCACCCACGTCGTGAACCCTAGCAGTCTAAAGAAATGATGACCAGCATGTATTATGAACGAGGAAATCTCACTTTTATTTCGTGCTCATTCGTTTTTTAAACTACCTACACAAAGTACTCCTACTTGATTTATTCTATTCTTGCCTTATACGATCCCGGTTGCCATGCTTGAATTTTTGTACGAGTTGTCGAGTAAGGGATGTACTTCTTGTCTCTGCAAAAATAAGTTTAGAAAGGAGTTTGGAAAAAAGGACTTCCTATATTTCATAATCGCCGCTGCATAACAAATGCGGCTTTTCGTCTCTTGAAACAATGAAACTCACTCGAAGATAGAAAGGTTTTCTTCGTGCTGCATCACCCACTTTTCGTTTTTGGGAGGATTTTGCGTAGGTGTATCATCACATATGTGGTGAAGCCAACGGTGCCTAAAATTTCAATGCAATAATTGTCGCTTCCCTAATTTTCATACTCTCTCAGTAAAAGCATATTTCTTGCCATGCGAACAAGTTTGTATCCCTTCTATAGTTCTTTTGTATCTATAGGTCGCGTCATAAAGAGAAACGGACAATATGATTGGAACAACTACATCTTTGGAAGTGTCTGCGAAAAACGTAGACCGTTGCTCACAGTAATGGCCAAACCTAAGAATTATTTGGCCAATCGTGTTAGCACGGGTGGGTTGTCATGATATTGATATGTGGCTCGTTGAAACGCCAAATGAAAGTTTTGAAGAACTGGGCACGGTGCGCCAAAAAATAAATGTAATGAGTGTGGCATAATGGTCGCCCACAATATGTCACTGAGATGCAAGAGTGGCGGTATACATGATTGCCGCGCAGTCTTAAGGGTGTTCAATAATGATGTTAATAAGGGACATTAATGAACGAAAAAAAAACAGATGAATCAGAAGTAGCTTACCATTCTGGAGGAATTTGTGTTGGATCATAATCGAGCCAGACCTGAAAAATAGCATTTTCAACAACAAAACAATACCTTAACCAAACTCATCACTAACCTTTTCGGGGTACTCCACCCATCTATTACGAGGCATGAAATAAGAGTTGTCCTCGTAGTATTTGTTACCAAATTTGTCTTCTCCAACAAGAGTCCTGCGCGAGTGACATCCATTCTGCAATGAGGGATGATCAAACTTTGTAGTAAGGGCTGATAAAAACCTGCCAACTTTTACAAACTGGAAATGCATAAACATGACATGTTAAAACACATTTCATTACTCAGAAAAAAGATCATTGGGAATGAAGATGGCAACTCACAAATATCTCTTCTTCAGAACAGCACGAACTCCTCCAATTTGTTTCATAATTCTAGCTAACTTCTGTATTTTGTCGATACCCAACCATTCCTTCAGGGGTGGCATCTTAGCACGCAACGAATTACATTAAATATTTCGAAAATGAATGAATATATAGAGATATCAAATATGTGGACATTGACCGAATAATGAAAAGGACTACAGCTAATACCAAGAGATTTATTACATTAAAGTCCTTATGTTGACAATTTCGAGCAATCACATAAGCAGCCGTTTAAGGTGCAACTAAAAAATTACCTCCACATCAAGAAACCACTTGCAATTATAATTATTATTAGAAGAAGAATAAAGAATAAAGTCTTACTAAAAACAATGAAGGTCAAAAAAGGTGAACTCGTAGGTGGTCCAACGAGTAAAGAAGAAGGCGAGATAGACCACGCATCCCCGTATACGAGTTTAAGAACACAGCTTAACCACAACAACGGCGTTAATAAGCCCAGCATCTTTCAGGTCGATAGACTCGTCATCGATAACCTTAAAAATCAAAGACGGAATTAAACCAGTGAATTGTCATAACTTGTACCAAAACTAAAGAGCAACGCACCCTATTCGGAAACGTAGTCATGAGCTGAAAAGCTGTAGCAGCCATGTCTGGATAAGCTCTAAACAAGTGATTTGCCATAAAAGTCGTGAATGATTTCAGAAATTTCGAATACAAACATCGACACTTACGTGACACGAAAGTTCCTGATCGCTCCAACAGTGTGTGCTTGATTGAATTTTCCACTCACACGTTGCCCATTTGGGAGACGAATTTGAATCTCAAATCAGATATGGTTCAGAGATGGTTTTAAATCAACCAGTGGATATCCGGAATGAACATACAAAAGTAGACCAGCATCCTCAGTCATTCCGCGCTATTATCGAACCATTGTGAAAAAGCGTTTCGGAAAAATCGGAATATATCAAATAAAAGAAGCGACCAAGAAAAGTATGCCATCTTGAGAGCCAATGGGCTTTGTAGGAAACAGTGTTCGGCAAATTTACCTGAGTAACAGAAATCCGTCTTGTTCACTTCCAGCTTGTGCTGTGCAACGTCATTCCACGGATTCCTGAAAAGGCCCTATAGAACATGAAGCGTAAAGTGATACAGAGACACCACACCCACCAAACCTGTGGGGTAAACGCAGACGTGCCGGTGCTGGACCCCCAATCTGTCTACATACAGGCACCAAAGACGCTTCCCGCTCCCCTTCAAAATACTTAACAATGTGAAATCCATGGAGACCTGTCGAGATAAGGCCCTGTTCAGAGATGTCCGCTTGCGCGAAAAAACGCATAGGCGAAACAATGTGAAATATGTATCGACTGAACGAAGACGCACAGGCGAATCGTGAAGTGGGAGGATCGACGAAAATGAGTATCATACGCATCGACTTACGAACGCTTCGCTCACGCGATTTTCCGCCTGTGCGTTTCTCACAGTCGATACATATCAAACTCTTGACTGAAATTCGCCTGCTCCGGACGTTTCGCTTACGCGTTTCACAATTTCTCAGTCGATGCGTATCTAAATCTTGGCGGAGATTTTCGCCTGTGCGTTTTTTCGCGCCGGCGGACATCTCTGAACAGGGCCTAAGACTCCAATGATCACGCATAGAGGTTAGCCAAAAAAGACATTTTGGCCCTCTGACGGCAATCTCTATCCAAAAAAAGACATTTTGCCCAGGTCGCGCTCCGACTTATTTTTTCTTGGCAGAGATTGCCGTCGTTGACGGAAGTTCCTCGGCAAAATATTCCTAAATGTCACTCTATAGGTACACGCAGGCCCACTTTTTGAGCTGAGCAAAGTGTGATCAAATCCATACGAGTCTCGAGACAAAATGCCTCTTTTTTTTATTGCCCCCCTGCATATTGCAAAATTAAGAGGCCGCTCGTGCTTAGCATGACCAGCACAGCCGTTTTAGGCGTACCAAACACTTTGCAGTGAAACAAGCAAACAAGAAACACCGAAAAACAGCAATTTCGAGAAATACATAGCATATGTGAGAAATCTTAACTCGTCAGCAAGTTCCAGAGAAATGTGTCTTGAACTATGACTTGCCTTACCTGGAAAGGCTTCAACTTCGGAGGCTCATAAGGTCCTGTACGCTTTTGCATACGCAAATCGATACGCCGACGAGGATGAGCTGCTAAAAGTTCTGCTGGCACACGACTGAAAAAAGTCCTTAAATTATTTGGAAAATAAAACCCTTTCCATTAAAGAAGATTAAAATCGAGAATGCAAAATAAAAGTATGCATAAAAGAAGCGTCGTAAGTAAAAAAGCTTATAAGAAATTTGAAAAGGAAAAGCAAAATAAGAACAGCATGGGAAAGCAACAGCTTTCACAACAACCATAAAAATTCCGAAAGAAAAAGAACAGTATAATTTCCTAATCTAATAATTTCGATGGAAGCTCACCCTTGCATAATGCTCTGGAGAAACTGCTGGCTTTCTGGATTATCGAAAGAACGCAATGGACCGTCATCAATCGAAAAACCATTCTCCCACATAAACAGCTCAACCACAACCTGCACAAGTATTAGAATAGGCTCTATAAAATGAACGAATAGGAGAGCTTACTCACTTCCTCATGTTCACTTGTGTCACTTTCTCCACTGCTACCATCGTCACGAATCGGAGCAGAATTCTCCCCTAAAGCGAACTCCACCGCCACCAGAACGACCATGCCGAGGCTGAATATGAAACCTAATAATGCGAAAAGACCCCATTAGAACAAACAAATGCCGGAGAATAAGATAGGATAAAGAACAAGATGTGAACAAAGTCAAACCGTTAGAGAATCGTCAGCGTTCGAGCGAACACCTACCCTAGGCGAAAGGTCACTTGAGCTCAGCGCTTCAGCTCCATGTTGTCTTGCTGCATCAAACACGCGTTCGGCTATGTTAGCACGGGCTGGCCTTTCAGGACCCAAAACTTGCTGTCCACTGAAAACCTACAGGATTGATCAGGTCTATAGAGCGAAACTTGATGAGCATTACTTTTTGAATGACAGTGAATAAATCAAAAAATAGACTAGCTCAGGAACGACGCAGGACAGGGACACATAAGTCTTCGATTTTCAAACGGAGACTTTCTGCTTAATTTGTGCTTCCATTTTCACATTCCATAACTGACAAAATGCATTCTCGTATACGGGGATTTGTACACTTATCACCAATAATAAATTTACTTTTGGGATTTACTATTGAAACAAATTATATTCTAAAAATGATGGGTAGATGAGCACACAACGAGGACGTATACCGAGAAAAGGATTGTTTCACAACGATTAAAACGTCGAAAGAAAACACGCTTGACTTTCGAATTGTACAATACGATACTTGCATAAGGCGCAAAGTAAAATAAGCTAATAGACATTCATATTTAAAAAAACATGCCTTGTCGAGCCACCAACAAGAAACCTTGTCGTCGCGTACACGTCCGATTTTCAAACGTTCGTGATCATCTTAGGAAGATGTGGGGGCCGCGTAACGATAGCTGAAAACATAGATACGTATACTGAAAAAATTAGATAGGTGTCCCTCAATAATGCAAAAGGGAAAGAAAATGTATTTCATGATATTTTGCCTTATTGAAAGCTTTAGTAACAAACAACCTACTTTCTGCTCATGATCGATCCGAAGATGAGTAAACTGAACCTGAAACAAGGATCTCAAAAGTAGCGAAACCAAATGCCGACGAAAATTAAACACAAACTCTCAAAATGACACAAAGTAACGACTCATAAGTGAAAGCGATGATAACTTCGCAAAATACGCGTGAGTGTTGTGATTGGGTGTGAATGCACTGAAGGCGCACTAAGATACGCCGTTTTCTTGGATCGGGAACGTGAACCGCCGCTTTGGTTAAAACTTTTACGGAGGTACTTTCGCGATTTATAGAAGGGTTTACCTTCGGAAGGCGAGGTAGACAATTAATTTTTAGGATTCAAACGTCTTTCGTGCTTCATTTTCTTTCCTAAAGGTGGCCACTTCAAAATTGAATTTAAAGGCAAAGGTCGGGCTCAGCACGCTAGAGAAGTAATTCCCGTGCCTGGAGGTTGTATGTGGGTAGCTGCACACATTGCAGCAACTTCCCACCTTGAAAAACGTCGTTAAGCCCCCGGGGCCGTCGGTTTCAATCCGGGCCGCCTTCAATCCGGGACCGCCCACCTCCGGAAGTGGTGCGTGGCTGGCATAACGTGTGAAATCAGCTAGGTTGATTGCCGTATCAACCGATAGAACGACTGACATCTCCAGAAAACTTGTTTGTACGTGCCTCTTTCCCCAAGCCAGCCTCCTTCACTGCTAGTGGGAAAGAGGGTTTTGTTAACGGCCTTGTCGACGGGTTTTTCTCAGTTTTTTCTCCACTGTCGTTCCACTTCGCATCTCTATACTCAGTTTCAATCGCCATAATACCCCCTTATTGAGCCCGACTTTTGCCTTTAAATTTGGCAAGTAGATGGCCGCTTCAGTCTGTGTCGTCTAGCAACCATTTACCTTCTTCACTTTGAAGGCAATGATCACAGTGGCTGAAGGGCGGTGCGGTTTTGATGACGTCGCTGATGGTAGACCCCCTCGGTTGGGTTATGGGTAGGACCACCTGGTATGGTTAAGTGGATGTCAGACATGGCGACTGTGCAGTCAGGCATGGTGGGAAGCAGGGTGAATAACGGTCGAGGAAATCCTCGACCATAGCTCTGTACTGTGCGAGAGTGCCGAGAGTGAACGTACGCGCGGAGAGCACAGACGGCTCGCGCATGGCGAGTGTGAATGTCCGCGCGGGAGAGCGTAACTGATCAGGCGAAAATCCTCGACGTGCCGTTGAGGAATCCTCGACCGATATCCGCGCTGGTGGTTATCATTTCAAACCTATTTTTCGCCACATCAAATTCTGGTCTAATCTGCACTAGTTTCATGGAACGTTTTATGGGTCAGGTTACGTGCAAAATACAAACAACAAAGTTTTTGCAGTAAGGCAAATGGATGTTAATTGGGCTTGACATATTGGAAAAAATGAAAATAATTCCTTGTGACCTAATTTTTTTATTTTTTCTTTTCCATTGATTTTCTGAGGAATTCCTTCGGGAACCGGAATCAAATTGATTGTTATAAAGATGGGGTTGACTCCGTAGCGATACTGTTCGCCATTAGTGGACATTAGCTATGGAAAGTGGTTCCCTTCTTGCTCTATATTAATAAACCATTTTTCAGCAGTATATCTAATTAAAGTATCTATCCTTTTTTCGCGGTTCTTTTTTCCTTACTGCACATTCCACAATTTTTCCAAATAAGCAGATAGGACATCATTTTTTCAAGCCGTATCTTTGACTTTTCACACCGGAGTGACTCGTAAGTTTTCGGGTGAAGTGTGCGCTAAGATGGATCGATGAAGAGGATTTTCCGACTCGTGAGCAGGTTCATCGTGGTTTGTGGCCGATTCCAAGGTGGGGTGAAGAGGCTTGGATGATGGCTCAGTATAGGCGGAGCGTGTTTCTAAAGTAGGCGAGTTTACCACGAGGCTTCACATTCAGTTCCACGATAGCCATGAAGACAGGTAAAAAGTTAAGCAGGGACCAACAGAGGGAGGGAAGCTGAATTCATCGCAATATGTGGTGTGCATCGTGAGTAGGTTGAGCAGCAAATTTTGGTTGCGAGCTGTCTTTTGAGGAAGAAAATTCTATGGTGTTCGATGGGCGTGCGCGCAAACTAGGTATCACATAGCATTCCTGTGCACTTGTGTATCGTTTGCTCATTCTCGAGTTTGTCAATATGACTTCAGTACACATGAATCGTCTTACACATGTTACGTAGCAGTGGATCTGGCTTTCTTGTGTGTTCTAGAGGTTTCCTCTCTTCAGTCTTGAGCTTCACGAGGAAATTTTTTCTATTGTCTAGAAGGCGTGAGTTCCGTAGTCTCAATATTTCTCAGCAGCCTTTCAATGGATTCCTTTAAAGGACGAATTCACGATGAAAAAGCAACCCATTTCAAATTAACCTAGGGATGGTGAGTGGTACACGAAAGAAGGAAAGAACCATGAGAAACGGCCCAGAACCCGAGAAATGGGACCCCTTCCTTGCCCGTTGATTGAGCATTGATGCGACTCTCATCGCTGTGCCCTCTTCAACACTACGCTCTCTCAGCTATCTAATCACTCGCCGGTAGACTGCGGCGAGTGATTAGGTATCGGTGGGCGTACCGCCGCCTAGCCGCGCCAAGAGTGAGCCATGCCTAGATACGCTGAGGTCAAATCTTTCGCTGCCACTTGCGGGTCCGCTGAGCATCCTCAGGAGTATCCTGTTTCGGCCTAGGCTAATTTTCCCTTCTTGAACTTCTTCTATCGTGAGATCCGCTCCTTGAGTTTACATGAAAATAAGACTGCTTGGAGGGAAGCTGAAATGCGTATTTGCGCGTTGAAGTGGATTTTATAGCCATTTTTATTGTTCTTTTGCCGCCATTTTTAACATTCACTGTGATACAACTATCTGGATCACTGTGGATTAAAATAGTTAGCATTTCACGAGCCGAAAGATCGTTCAAGGCGAATGTCGAAGGCAGGAGTTTCAATTCAGCTGGCTTAAAGTCATGTCTATCTAAACGGAATCGCTTGTAGATTAATCTTGGTCTCTAAGTTCACGGACCCACTTGGAAGGAGGAATGAATGTTGTACACCTATCTCTCCATTATGATACCCTTTTCAAGGACTATACAGAGGGTTTAAGCGGCCGCCCGCTTGTTGAAGAACCTCACTTGGGACTTCTAGCTGTTCTTTTTTTTTTCAGGAATAAAACCTCGCTGGGGTCAATCAGAATCAGATTTAGGTCCGAAAATGGAATGATTTGATGCCTTTTCATGCCATAACGAGAGCATTTCTAGAATTCGTGCCTAATCTAGGAAAAAATGCAGAGAACAGGACACCTTTCCACCTTTGTGAATTCATTGATGTGACAGAAAATGGGTAGGTCGTGGCAGCAGGATTGCGACCGTCCAGCCTATGTAAATTTGGACTTGCATCTTCATTCATTGACTATTTTATTGTGATCAATGCTTCGTATTGATCGACCGGGAAGTTGCGTGCGCTAGATAATGCTCCATAGGTGGAGCCGTTCACCACGCGCATATTCGTAATTAAGAATCCTATGACGTATCGGCTGCGAGCTAACTCACTCGTAAGCCAACTGTTCTGTGAATTGGTGTTCTGGGATCAAATTTTTCTGTAGAATGCAACTTCTAACCATTAGTTCTACATCAGCGATCTCCCTAAAATTATTGTACAGACCGAATGGTTTTAATAATGCCACTCCGATTCCCAGCGGAAGAAGAATGCATGGCGCATCGCAAGTGGGATCAGTTAATGCTTTATCATAATTTGATTAGAATTAAATATTATAGAATTCAGTTCGATTAAAATTGTAACAAATCTTTCATTAATGTAGGAATATGTTGGTATTTGCATCACAACGGCATTTTCTAGAGCAAGAATTTACGAATACCATCATTGCCTTGAAAATCGTTATAACTGGGACGTTCTCTCCGGTTCCGTTTTGTTATGAAAATCAATTTCAGTCCTTAACGAAATTATTGGTTCTTCGCAATAGGTGTGTCCAATTCAAAAGTAAGGATTAAATTGATTCGGCGGACAAAAGAGGCAAATTCTACAGAATAGCGAGATTTTTTTATCCTGAA